CAGATTCCCCACTAAGCACAGAGCCGAAGAGGGGCTCGATCTCACAACCCTGAGATCATGACCTGAGCTGAAATCAAGAGTCTAATGCTTAACCAGCTGAGCCACCCATAGGATTTATTTTTAGAGAGCAAAACTAAATTTCACTAATTGCTATTCAATACTGTCATCTTGAGCCTTTATACTAATCAGATCCTACAGACTCACAGATCTTCTACTAAAGGATAAAAAAAACTTTAAAGATAGACAGCATACTCTATTACATGGAAGCATGGTAGTGCTCCATTCAGCTTGCTTATCACCCCTTGTAAGAAGTTGAAGTTTCTCTCAGATAGAGCCCGAGCAGATGGTTTGGGTTTGTGGGAGATGTTCTTCTTTTTCTTTACTTAGTGTTCATCTTTACTTAGTGTTCAGTATTTTAAAGAGATAATGTATAATATATTACTATATGTCAGTTACATTTCAATTTTTAAAAAAAGAGATAATATATATTGTCACATAAAATAACTGTTTAAACGATGTTTCAGTACCAAGAGTCACAATTTAATTCGGTTAGAGGTGGGAATTTAAAGTAGAATTATGATTCACTTAAAATTTCCCTCTTGGTTCTTGTATTACAACAGCTGATGAAAGGAAGGGAACACAATGGGGGAGGGAACAGAGTTTGTGCCTCATGAGGTGGAAAGCCTGAAACATTCTGGACCCCAGAATAACAAGGAGAAGCCCAAGCTGTCATATCTCCTACGAGCACTTTTGTGTATTCAGATATTAAAGAGAATTTTAAAAAGAAAATATAATAATATTTGAGTAAAATGCAGATATGTTTGCCTAGGTAAATAATTACAAAAATTCCCAGTTCCTTTTAAGTTAGATTTCCTAATTTAATTTATCACTGGAAATTTAAGTACAAGAGCTTTGATAAAACAGGTAACAGTGGTCTGTGTGTATATGTACAGAAAGAAATTTAATTAAAGTTGATGTTTTAATTTTCTCCACATTTTCTGGTTACTTGATTCAGATGCGGGTGCCAGAAAAATCTAAGTCGAAAGACCATTTTTGAAGTTTCTTAACATACTAAAGAATCTGCCAAGATGTTGAAAGAGACTTCAGGAAATACCAGTCAAGAACACTGTATATAGTATGATACCATTTTTATTAAAACAGAAACAACAAAGGTGGGAAAGTGCATGATATATAAATGGGGAAAAAGTCTTAAATGGTATATGCCAAATTGAGCGAGAGGACTGGGAATTTCTACGTTCTACATTTTTGTAGTACTTGGTTTGGTTTTTCTTTGTTTTACAATGAATACATGTTACTTTTTTCACTTAAAGGAACATTTATTTCATCCTTTTGCCGTGCAATGGGTTGCTCATAAATTATTCCAGACAGAGGAACCTTTCTTGCCTGTTTTTTTTTTTTTTTTTGTAAATTTAAAGCAGTTTTGGTAAATGTCTTTGACTATTCCATTATCTCATAACTATTTCCCTGATGATGTTTTAAGCCCAGTTTCTCAGTAGAAAGCTCACCATCATAACCATGAGTGTGCATGCTTAATAATAATAGCTATTACTTATTTGAGCAGTCAGTATGTCCTAGATCATCTTCTAAGCACTTGATATATATGAACCCATTTAATCCTTATTATAACCCTATTAGTAGCTACAGTTTACAAATGAAGAAATGAAGCAGGGAGAGTTTAAGAGACTTTCCTGATTAGCAGACTCTATGCACATATACTGCATAGAAAGAGTACTCCCTGCACTTGCATAACATTGTTATGTTCCCTCTTAATTATCTCTTCTCAAAGCAGAACTAGCCCAGTTTCCATTTCCATTCTTTCATTTAGGAAGTACCACTTGAAGATAGGCTGTGTTCCTGTGTTAGGGAGGGATACGTGGATGGATAACACCTAACTTGTTCCTACAAAGGGCTTCGAGTCTAGTTAGAGAAATGGGACACATAAGGTGACCATCAGTAAAGACATGGAAAGCTCTGCGATGGTTCGTGATGAGGCTCCAGTGAGAAATATGGACTGGTTGCGGAGCTCAGGGTAGACTCTTGGGGAAGTAGGGTGGGTAGGCTCCGGTTAAGCCAGTATGAGCAGACTTCCTCCAAAATGCAACTCTCCATCCAGTTTCAGCAAGAAGGATGAGAAAGCTACTCGTACGGAGCTACCTCTCCAGTATTCTCTGATACTAACAGTTTAGTGGCCACAAAACAGTGCCATTTTCTCAGCATATTTCTTTTTTGAATAGAAAAATGCCAGAGGCTTGAGGATAGTCATTATTATCCCAAGGTCATTTTTGCTTTGAATAAAAAAAAAAAAGAAAGAAAATGTGACACACAGCTTTTTTCCTGAATGTGTCCTCAGGGATTTAAACCATTTGGTTACATATGTTTTAAAGGCAGAAGCAAGGATGCCATAGTTTGGGAGCTAAGATACAGAGAGGTGCATGTGCCTGGGGCCAGTGAATAGACTAATGTGAGCAGGGGACTCTAGAACAGGGGTCAGCGAACTTTTTCTGTATAGGGTGAGATGGTAAATACTGTAGGCTTTTTGGGCCTACAATACAGGGGTCAGTCTTCCCTCTACAACTCTGCTGTGGTGACATGAAGGCAGCCACAGAGGACGCGGGGAAGGACTGTGCGTACAGAAACAAGGAGCAGGCCGTGGTTTGCCACCCTCCTCTGGAAGAAAAGTTAGAAAGAATGGCAGGACCTTTGACCCCAGACTCAGAAGCTTTTATTTTATTTCTTCGGTGCCAGAGGATGTCAAAGCCTTACCATTTTTCTTGCCCTGGAGGCCCCCAGTTCATGCAATAACGTGCCCCTTTGGTCGTCAGATTTCCTCCAAACTATCATACTGATTTGCTGAGAGCATTAACAGTCTTCCTCAAGCAGGTGCTGAAAAATAATGCAGTCAGTTTTGCTCTTCAGCGCCTTAAGAGTTTGCATTTGTGCACCTTTGTCATTTGGGCAAAGAGGGAAATAGCTATTGGTTCTTAGTGTTATGAGACTAATAGGGATGGGCTCCATTGTAAGGGACGATGGAACAAGCTACTTAGGGGGAAATATGTGCAAGTCCATATTACTGTTAAGTGATTTGCAAGACCCAGGCCTTGTAGATTTTATCATAACCTGAGAAATATTGGCAGACTAGACTAGTGTGTCAGGGGAGAATTCTGCTCAAACACACACAGGAATGTTTTGAATGTTCCTGAGAACTTAGTAAATAGGGTTGCCAGGCTGAGCAAATACGAATCCAGGGCACTCACTTAAAATGGCATTTCAGATAAGCAACAAAAAATATTTTAGGATAAGTGTGTGTTCTGCTCAATATTAGGGACCTATTTATACTAAAAAATTATCTGTTGTTTATCTGAAATTCAAACCTGTCTGAGCCTCCTATATTTTATCTGGCCAGCCTAAATGGGAAGATAGGTGAGTAAGTAGTTTTTTGCACTATTGTATCATTACGTCAGTTGATTAGCTATCCTTCCCCAAGGTTGTTCTTATTTTTATTTTTTAATTTTTTTTGGTCATGGGTGGGGGGAGTCTAATGACAGTCGAAACTCACTAATTCCAACCTCATTGATACAGAATTTTGATTATTTATGCAAGGGCTATGCTAAAGTGCACTTTATTCTCTTCATGAATTTATTCAGCCTATTTATCATTGGTAGTACAAACAAAACTGAAAGAACTGTTTCTTACCCATAGTGTAAGTACAGTGTGATCAGCGGCTACAGTTACTTAGATTGTGCTTTTCATTTAACAATCATAGATCATTCTATCATTCAGTAAGCAAGACCAGACTTTACCAGGCACAACCAGGTGCAGCCACCTCAGTTCCCACGGCCCCCTTGGCATCCCATCTATCCACATACACAGTGTGTGCCTGCCATGCTCTCCTTGTGTTCCTCGTGCTTTCTAGAACCTCCCACAATGCTCGCTACTTACGAGGCACCCTATAAATGTTTGTTAGGTGAATTAATGGGTGAGTGCTATCTGCAGATGTTAAAACAAACTGTCACCATTGCTAAACATCTTACATTTTAAATTTTAAAAAATTATTTGAGGTACTCTTTCCCTTATTCCAAGTTGTAGTACATAGAGGGAATTTTTGGTAAAGTTGGTTTCGTTGCACAATGGCCTTTGAGAAGCTAATCCTGAAAACAGATTGAAATTCCAAAAGTGTTCTATGAAGAGGGAGGGGGAGGTTCTTATAAATTCACCATGAGCAGCACCCCTGTGAGTTTCTTCTGTTGTGGAAGGAGGGGTCTCAACACTATCAGGCTGCTAATGATATTAACAAGGTTCAGCCTGCAGTCTTCCTTACTTGTCCCCATTTGCCCTGATATGTACACACACACACACACAAACACACACACACACAGGTGCGCACATGCATATACTTAAGTAAATCCCCATATATCATCCAAATAAATGGAAGGGGTTCTTTTGACTGGATATCGATTATGGTTGTCACCCATAAATAATACACTAATGACCTAAATAAATATGTAGATATTTACATTCTAAACCACTATTGTTGTCCTTAAGGACCACTATATACAAGCCATCTGAAAGAGCTTGAGAACCCAGTGAAGTCTGGACCAGTGTTGAGGGAATTAAACATGAGTGGTTTATATGTGAAAAGGGTAACACCACCATTTCTATTGCCTGGTACTGGTCAGCATCTTAGCCTTGAAGACATATTCAGATGAGGCTTGGTCTCAGTTTCCACCTGTGGCTTTATTCTTCTCTATTTCTGCTAGCAGAGAAAAAGGATGAATGGGAACCGGGAAGTTAAGAATGAAATCTCCCTCTGTCCCTAATCCTACCCAAATCACGGGAGTATTTTTCTTAGCGATGTAGGGAATTCAGGAGGTGCACTGAATACAGGTCAGCAGCAAAACAGAGCGTTGCCTGTGATCCTTTCTTCTAAGAGAGTGGGGCCATGGTCTGACTATTCCCTTCTGTTCTCCCTTCTCTCGCAGCACCCTGGAAGGGTATTATGTGGACGATGCCCTGCAGGGCCAGGGAGTGTACACTTATGAGGACGGGGGCGTTCTCCAGGGCACATATGTAGACGGAGAGCTGAATGGGCCCGCCCAGGAGTATGACACGGATGGGAGATTGATCTTCAAGGGGCAGTACAAGGATAACATTCGGCATGGAGTCTGCTGGATATACTACCCAGTAAGCCTGGTGACTGTTCATTTTGCTGGAATGTAACATGGGTTAAGCCAATGCTTTGGCTCCTGGCAATAAAGAGTAAAATGTAGCCTCTATGTTAGAAAATGTGAAGCTGTGAAACTTGAGAGAGTCACAGGAGCTGAAGCCACCAGCTTCTGAGGTGTGCCCCTCACTGTTACTCACTATCCTCTTAGATTGTTGATCCTCACAGCTACTCTTCATTCCTCCTCGGTGTTGTTTTGGAAAGGAATGGATAGTCATGATTCAAACAAATTGGGACAAAATGGCTTTATTGTACCACTAATAAAGACAAAAATGTATGCTTTTTAAAAATATTCTTTTGGGGGACACCAGGGTGGCTCAGTCGTTTAAGCATCTGCCTTCAGCTCAGGTCATGATTCCAGGGTCCTGGGATCGAGTCCTGCATCGGACTCCCTGCTCAGCGGGGGTCTGCTTCTCCTTCTCCCCGCTGCCTGCCGCTTATCCTGCTTCTGCTCTCTCTCTCTTTTTCAAGAAAATAAATAAAATCTTCTATATATATATATATATATATTCTTTTGGTATATAGAAAGAGATGGTGGAATATTCCATTGTGTTGCTATTAATTTTATTCTGGTTCTCATACAGGAGAACTGATCCAACAATCTCCCATCTTTTGGGACTTACTGCACTGTTATTACTTGATTTTACAACCCTATTCCCTACTTTATAAGTGATTTATGGCTTATGTTGCTTAAATTAAGGTAATTAAAATTAACTTGCCTTTGAGTATTTGATAACATTTTCCAATATTTCTGGAGTTTACTAGAGCAAATGATGTGCCAGAACCCATTGGCTTGGGAATTAATGCTCTAATTGTTGTTTGCATTTCAAATATCCCATCTGTTATTAGTGAATTTTCAGAAAATATGTCAGAAAATAGACCTTAGAAAATATTTTATCTACTATTTTATTTTGTCCAGGGCACCTAGCTCATTGTGTCAATAAAGCATGCAGCTCTTGATCTTGGGGTCATGAGTTTGAGCCCCGTGTTGGATATAGAGCTTACTTAAAAAAAAAAAAACAAACTAAAAATAACTATAGTAATATTTTATTTTGTCCAGAGCTTAAGTCAAAATACAAGACAATTTTTCTTACTCTGAACCCTATCTTCTTATGATTAAAAAAACGTTAATAAAAACAAATGATCTATTGCATGTGTAGTAAGAAAAGTAGCCCCAGCTAAATCTACTTACACATTATTGTTCTTTAAAAACAAGTTATACTCTAGGAACAGGGCTTAAAGAAAGAATACTGTAAAACATTTTTAAAATAGTTACCAAAGCAATTGCATATCTTCTTGGTAGGCTCTGTGATAGATCAGGAGTCCTTTGGGTTACTGCCCATAAGGCAGGCAGGAAGAGGGATGTTGTGGAGGTACTTACCAGCTTAGGAAGACTGAGACTTCTGTTGCCTCATGAGTAGGCTGGTTGAGCATCTTGCTGACTGGGACTGGGGATCTGCTGACATGACAGTGAATCCTGAAGTCAGAGAAAGTGGAACCCTCTGCGGGAGGCTGGGTATAGGAAAGAGGCCTCCTCCTACCTGTCATCTTACTTGTGACTATGATCAATTAAAGTCTCTAGAGGAGATCAAAGATGCACCAAGGTGAATGGATCCATTTCACTCTGTAGTTGCATCTTGACACCTAAATGGTGCACCTACATTTTATTTTAGTCTTTGGTGTTCATTATTATCTTATTAAATGCCAAGAGAAGACTCTGCCTTAGGAAAGAAGCACTAGGGAGTTATGAGCTTCCAAAATTAACTTGGGATAACACTTGCTTTATATATGGTATCTGTTGGCAGTTGAGGGGGCTGATCACACCCCTCTTCTCTCTGGATTCAGAATCAACTAAGACACCTATGTCTCCAGGTGTCAGAGATCAAGATGGTTATATTATAACAGTAGTGGGGGTTTGGAGAGGTGATGTGGACCCAAAGTCAAAATGGGCTTCTGTTCTTTCCCCGTCTGAACTAAACAGTTGGACCAGTGTCAGATAGAGCTCTAGAAAGTTGCAGGCTGCCCCCCGGGGGAGTAGGGCCTGCCTGGGGAGCTTCCCCAAGGAGAGAACAGGAGAGGGCAACAGGTGCAGCCCGCCGGCACCGCCAGCTCCCAGGACAGCGTGCGTGCAAATGTCGCGGGACCTCTGGGAGCAGCAGGCTTTATCCTGCTAACCCCCACCCAATAAAGAGATGGGTGTCAGTGGGTGTCAGACTCTGCCTTCTCACTAATCAAATGAATGATTCCTTCTCCCATGAAGAGGAGGCACTGAGCAGAGGAGAGAAGGTAGCAGCTTCCTCCCCGACACTCCCTGACACAGCAGACAAGGACGTTTTTGTGATACAGAGTCAAAGCAGGAACAAGAAGAGGGAAAATAATGATTCGCCTTATACTATTTATAAGCTTACTCTCAGGACAGCTTATTTCTTTCAGAATGATGTCACTTGGGTGGCTCCGTTAGTTAAGTGTCTGCCTTCCACTCAGCTCATGATCCCGGGGTCCTGGGATCAAGTCCCACATCCGGCTCCTTGCTCGGCAGGGAGCTTCTCTCTCTCCTCCCCGCTTATGCTCTCTCTCACTATCTCTGTCTCTGTCTCACAAATAAATAATCTTTAAAAAAAATGTATACCTCCTTTTGGAAATGAAAGAAGAAACTCTGCTTTATCTTACTAGACAAATAGATTCATCGCCTCCCTGACCAAAAGTTTAAAGTACTTAAGGGAAAAAAAAACCGTGAGAGCCTAGAAAGACAGAATTATGCACAAATAAGTCGAGACACTGGCTTACATTAGTTACGGCATGTTAGACGCACAAATGCTCTAACGCCCTTCAGCTCAGTAATCACCGCTGAAAGCTTGAAGGCAGATCTTGCAGAAAGTATCATCCCCATTTATGCTGGCTTATTCAGAATTAACTCTGGGAGGAGAAAGAGCAATCATATAGCTCTAAGGCACTTTCTATGTGTTAAAAATGCTGCCAAGTATTTTTCTGTCTATGAAAGTGCTGTGGTTCGTTTTTAAACTTATAACCTTTTTCCTCCAAAGAGCAATTAGACTATGGTGAGCTGTAGAAATCAGGTACCTGATGTTATTTATTCCTGCTGTCTCTCAGTAAGCAGCATTTGAGATCACTCAGAAGTCATCCTACACCATTGACTTTGAGTAGCTGTTTCTAGAACCTTTGATTTGGAGAAATAACCAAGCTTTTAGAAGATGTCATGGCATTAGTATTGTTATATTGAACCCACATAGGTCTCAGATTTTCAGTTATACCATAAAGACCTTCTGCATGGGGGGTGGGGGAGGAAACGTTGCTTGCACCCTAGATCCAATTATTTTTTGATTATTTATTAGATTATTTTTGGTATCCCATTTCAATTCAAAAGTCATTTATGGATCACCTGCCGTGTCCCTAGCACTTACCAGGATACAGAATTCTTTTTTTTTTTTTTAAAGATTTTATTTATTTATTTGAGACAGAGAGAATGAGAGAGACAGAGAGCACATGAGAGGGGGGAGGGTCAGAGGGAGAAGCAGGCTCCCCGCCGAGCAGGGAGCCCGATGTGGGACTCGATCCCGGGACTCCAGGATCATGACCTGAGCCAAAGGCAGTCGCTTAACCAACTGAGCCACCCAGGCGCCCCCAGGATACAGAATTCTATCAGAGCCTCTGCCCTAAAGTATTTAATGACCCTTAGGAATGAAAGCAAGTGACAGTTAAGCAGGAAGCACAGCTGGCTTCGCTCCTGGAAGGAGACAGAAGGAGCAGTAAATAAAAGTGGGAAGAAAGAGATGATGGGGAAGGGAATAGAATTTAGCTGATTTTTTTTTTCATTTTTTCCTTGTAATGCCATTAAAATGACGGTGTAAGATTCTCGGAAAGGCAGTGTCCACAAGTCCTTTTGTTTATCTCCTAGAACATGCAGACAACTCTCTTTAGTCATGTACACTAAGTTAATTCTTGAATACATTTGAACTAAAGATTTTCTTAGTAGACCAGAAATCCAAAATCCCACATGGAGAAGAAGTGAGATGGTATGAAAGCGGGTAAAACCATCTTGCTATAGATCCTCATCACATTGGAAATGGGCCCACAGTTTAACACATAGTTACTTTTCCTTTAAATATTTGTAACTAATATTACAAATACAATGCATTTGCTTCTTAGATAACGAACCAAAATAGAGTAACTTGTCAGGATTATAAAGTGTGGCTCAGTCTCTGACTCCCTAAATCAGGCTTCTGTGCTTCTATGAGTGTAACTTCTAGCAGTTTATTTGTATGGGGCTGCATGGGGAGGTATGCATCATGTTTTTCTCACATGAAAGCTTTGAGTCAACTGTTAATGTTAGCGCTATCAATGATGGGAGCACGCAAGAAAAAGTCCTTGAAGTCGTGTCATATAGATAAATACTACATATAATATTTTCTGGCTTTTGGTTTCTCCCATCAGGATGGAGGCAGCCTTGTGGGAGAAGTAAATGAAGATGGGGAGATGACTGGAGAGAAGATAGCCTATGTGTACCCTGATGAGAGGACAGCACTTTATGGAAAATTCATTGATGGAGAGATGATAGAGGGAAAACTGGCTACCCTTATGTCCACTGAAGAAGGAAGGCCTCACTTTGAGCTGATGCCGGGAAGTAAGTTGGATCTGCTTCAGATGGGCTGCTCCAGTTCCAAAGCAGGTTGTTAGGGCATATTTGAGAGAAATTTATTTGTCTAGTCCACTTGAATCGTGTAATAATAATCAGCCTTGCTGCATAATAGACATGTCCTCAAATACAGGTCTGCTGACGAGCTGTACTCAGCTGGGTCAGGCTGGGCTGGGCTGGACATGGCTGGACTTGAGAGGCTTCTTATCTTATTATGCCTTATAGGTCTTAATTCTGGGGCCCAGTCTGAAAGGACTGTGGTGACCTAGGTCAAGATTTTCCCAAGTGAGTCCAAGAAGCCAGAGCATGAGTAGACACCTAAGCTGCTTCTGAAAGCTTAGCTTGAAATGGACATGATGTCACTTTCAGGCACTTTTCATTGGTCAAAGCAGATTGCACAGCCAAGCTAAATATCAGTGAGATGGGGAAATAGATACCATGCATTTCAGTAGCAGATGCTAAAAAGTCACATGATAAAGGCATAGCTATATATTCTAATACAGGGAAGAAGTGAAGAAATGACAGCAGTAATTCAATGCATCTCAAAAGGTTGGATCTCAGAAAAAACTGAAATACAGTTTAATGATATTAAAGAATCAAATTAGGTAGATCTCCAGGTTGGTACAAATTGTAAAGCTGATTCAGCCTGAGCTCTGATTTGGAAAGATAAATGCATGTTGGCATCCCCTGCCTTCTTCAGAGCCCAGGATCTTCACGGGGCACATACTGGATACATGAGTGAGCCCAGTGGAATCCATATTAGGAAAAAATCCTTTTTCCTTTTAGAAGTACAGTATGGCATACTAAGCATTTTTTTTTCTGAGTATAAAATTATTTATTGGGGGCTTCTGGGTGGCTCAGTCGTTAAGCGTCTGGCTTCGGCTCAGGTCATGATCCACAGGGTCCTGGGATCGAGGCCCGCATCAGGCTCCCTGCTCCATGGGAAGACTGCTTCTCCCTCTCCCACTCCCCCTGCTTGTGTTCCCTCTCTCGCTGTCTCTCTCTCTGTCAAATAAATAAATAAAATCTTTTAAATAAATAAATAAATAAATAAATAAATAAATAAATAAATAAATAAATAATTTATTGTAGAAAGTCTGGAAAAAAAAAACCAGGAAAAAAACCAAGATTTTGTATTTTGAGTAGCATAACGAAATCTGTTTAAATTGGTCTCATTCCTTGAAAGCAATGTGTGCATATATGTCCCATCTAAGTTAGGTTATACGGAGAAAAAAAGCAGAGAAGATAATAAATCTATGCTAAATAGTCCTAAATAATATTTAGCTATTTGTGATCTGAAGGAGAATCTCCAGAGGAGAATGTCCAAAACTAGGAAATCTAGCATTTACACTTAGGTCTAACTTGGTTGTTTTAAATGTCTCAGTTTTTGTTTTCTTAAGTTAAAAATTGAGGCAGCCTAAATGCAATGTGGGATTCTGGATTGGATCCTGGAACGGAAAGAAGGCATTAGTGGAAAAACTGGTGAAATCTGAATAAAGTTTGAAGTTTAGTTAATAGTAACGTATTTATGTTGGTTTCTTAATTTTGACAAACATACCATGTAACATTAAGAAGTTACCATTACAAGAAACCGTGAGGAGTATTGGGGTGCTCTGTACTACCTTTGCAACTTTTTTTTTTTTTTAAGATTTTATTTATTTGACAGAGAGAGAGACAGCGAGAGAGGGAACACAAGCAGGGGGAGTGGGACAGGGAGAAGCACGCCTCCCGCCAAGCAGGGAGCAGGGGCGGGGGAAGGGGCAGAGGAAGAGGGGGAAGCAGACTCCCCCACAAAGCAGGGAGCCCAATGTGGGACTCGATCCCAGGACCCTGGGATCATGACCTGAGCTGAAGGCTGACGCTTAACGACTGAGCCACCCAGGCGCCCCATCTTTGCAACTTTTCTGTAAATCTAAAATCATCCCAAAATGAAAAGTTTTAAGTGAAACAGTCATCTTTGCACTTCAAATTCTACTCTCTGTGCTCTTCACATATGTTCTGAACGGAGACAGTGCTACCGTGTTTAGCAGTGAGGGGCCCCAGGCCAGGGGAGGATCCCAATGGGTGATGCCCATTTTAAAACTTAAACAGTGGCAGCATGTTTTAGTGGCAAGAGCCACGTGAACTTGAGAGTCACCTGATTTGGGTTTCAGCTTCAACATTTACCGTACTATGGTCTTGGGCAAGTTATTTATCCCTTCGGAACCTATTTCTTCATTATAAAACACAGATATTGGCACCTACTATACAACAGCATAAGGGAGGTTACTATTCTCTTTATGTTCTTCTTGGTGTGAGTAAGCAACAGATTTTGGGAAGCGAGGGTGATAATTCTCAAAGGGTTATTTTTCTTAGAACTCCTGGTTGTGGGACACCTGGGTGGCTCAGTCAGTTAAGCATCTGCCTTCAGCTCATGTCATGATCCCAGGGTCCTCGGATCGAGTCCCACATTGGCTCCCTGCTCTTTTGGGGAGTCTGCTTCCCCCTCTTCCTCTGCTCCTTCTCCCGCCCCTCCTCATGCTCTCTCTTACTATCTCTCTCTCTCTCCCTCAAATAAATAAATAAAATCTTAAAACAAACAAACAAACAAACCTCCTGGTTGTAAATAACAAACACCCTCTTCACCTTAACTTAAGACCACAAAAAAGGTGGGGAGGAGGCACATGATTCTTGGTTAGATTCTGGTAGGACTGTTAATTTGAGGACATGTTGAGCAGTTTGGGTTTCACAAGCATCAGGAAGCATGGCTGCTTCGGGTGCCTGGGAGGAACATGGGCCTTCGGTTTGGGGCACTTCTCGCCTACCCCCCACCCCCTCTCAGGTACAGTGAGTGAGCTGTGGACCAGGCCTGACGGGGCCCTGCCACCATCTGGTCCGGCATGGGGAGGAGAAGGAAAACGTAAGGCAAATATCCCAACCTGCCCCTCGCTGACCTCTCCCTACACCCTTTCTCTTTGTGCTTCTGTAACCGCAGACTGCTTCTAGTTATCCACTCCTGCATGCTGATTTCCTCGTCAGGGCTCAGGCTGGACTTTCTTCCTGCCTCATCTCTTCCCTTCTCCGCAGAGGAACTCCTTTCTCTGGTAATTCCTGTGCTGTCTTAAGGCTTAGAATTCATGTCTGTCAAGGAAATGAATGAATTCTGGTCTGGCGTAGTATAAATTACAGAGGAGAGGAGGATAAGTAAAGAGTGTGCTCCGTGTGCCCGGAGCCTTGGCCCATTGGCCAGTGGGGGAAAAACAGGAAGGGACAGCGTGTGTCGGAAAAGATGGTGTCAGCTCCTTGAAGGCAGCTGGAGATGTCCCTCCTGTTTGCATCTGTACTGTCCCTAATGCGGGGCTCTCCATGTGGCTGGCCCATGGTTACATTGTGATGACAGGTTTAGTCTAAGGAAGGGAGGGGGAAGTTCAGAGGAGATTTTCTGCACAGTAGAACAAGTATTTCACAGAAAAGTCTGGTTAAAAAGTGTGGGTTTTTTCTTTTTTCAGCTAACTTGCTTTAACGGATTGTGCGTTGGTCCGTTACCAGTTTGCTCTCAGATGCATTTCTCGTCCTTCTCTTGCCCTGCTTTTATTGCAGGGGGGCTTCTCCTCCTTCAAGGCCACATTGCCTAGGCCCTTGTGCGTTGGCTTCTGTCTGGGTTTGGCCACAGGGAGGCACTGGCCAGGGCCACGGAGAGGAAAGGCATGAGGAAGAAGCTCTCTCTCTGTGTCCAGCAGCATCTCCAGCAGGGGCCTGTCTCCTGACTCCATCTCCCACCAGGAAGGTCCCCCCACATCCCAGCTTCCCTGGGCCGGTATACCCCAGCTCTAGAGGCCCGGGCACACCACCTCCACCTGTGTCCTTCTGGCTTAGGGTTACGTGGCTTCAGCTCCTGCCAGTCTCTAGGCTCCTCACTGACCCCTTCGGTTTCTCAGTTCCTCTGTGCTCCCTATAACCAGTTCCCTAAGTGAAATTCTCTCTTTGAAATACGCAAGTGTTCTGTTTCCTAGCTAGACACTGACTGATCTGGATTGCTTTTTAACTTTTAGTTTGAGACACTGATTTGGGTTTTGTGATTGTACGAAACAAGCAAAAACCAGAAGGAGGACCTGGTAACCGCTGAGGAATTGCTTAACAGGATGATTTGTGATGCCTTAGTGCCTAAAAGAATTTACTTTACAGGAGTAAGCCCTTCGGTTCTAAAATGTGTTTCTTTGCTTATTAGGCATTAGAGCATTGGTTGTCTTCATTGCACTTTGGGAAGATTCTTGGAGGCTAATCCTTTGCAGAGAACCAATGTTAATTCTAGAACAGTTGTGTACCTTAGTTTCTGAATAAATTACTGATTGGCGTCTGAACCACCTTGATAGAAATAAGAAGACTTTGTTTTTGCTTTATCAAAAGCAGTTCTGTTCTTAATTCTGGTGAGGCAAAAGTTTATTTTTAGCGAAGGGGACAGTTGCTGGGGTTGGATGGTTGGAGTCTACAGCCCCTGTGTCTAGTAGGAAGAAAATCACAAGAAAATTTTAAAACCATCATCCAACCCGATCTGACCAGAGAGATCTCAAAATTTCATGACAAAGCAGGATCTTGATTAAAAAATTTTAATTACACAAGCATTTTGTAAACCATTTGAATAAAGAAAATTCAAAGGCAAAAATGGGATTTTAAGAGATACATCTGATGGCTGTTCATTAAGACCTAAAAATAAAACTCAAAAGCAAATCTAAAAACTGTTCATTTATATTGGAGAATTTATTCTAGTCGGTGTAATTTGAATAACATTTTTCATTATTTAACTCCTGCTTTAAAAGCTCTCCCCTAACTCGGTAATCTCTAGATTGAGATGTTCGCTTGCTTTTCAGGTTCGGTGTACCACTTTGATAAATCGACATCATCTTGCATTTCTACCAGTGTTCTTCTTCCAGATCCATATGAATCAGAGAGGTAAATTTTTTCCTTGTGGTTTGAACGACATTGTTTATGGGAAGTTAAATAACCCTCATGGTGGGAACTAATCCTCCTTTGTAGCCCTCTGAGCGGAAGAAAATATTCATATATTCTGAGGAAGAGTGTTTTTATGCTTATATCGCATCTGTCGCTGTGAGAGAGTTTCTCCACCCATAAAGCACAGAACAACCATGTGTCAGTCCCAGAAGGAAACTTCTACATATGGAGAGCCCACTATGCCCTGCCCCAACGTCCCCTTTCTTGGGGCCCTGGTGCAGTGGATGCTGCACCACGTGCTGGCCTCTAGGGGAGCATTTCGTACTCCTTAAAACTCTAGCCTGGGCAGGAACCAGAACGCCTCCTTTACTCAGCCCTGCCGAGCGGGTCTGGAACACAAGACAATTTCTTGATTCACGAAGGGAGAACAGCAGTGAAAGAAAGACTATAAGAAGCATAAGAAGCTTCCAGTGAACAAATGACAAGCTTCTGATTCTATAAGCTCGCTCCCCAAGTGTCAAGTCCCGTTCCAGTCCATCTTCTCTAAACTCCAGCTCTCCGTTGTTGGTGTGGCTTTCCCTGGTACTCTGCCCGAGACTTTTATCCCCTAGCAACTGGCCTGTTGGTGAGGAAGAGAGCCATCTGCGGTTGGTTTTCTCTTTGCCTTGTTCTTTGTAAGCGTGGCTTGCAAAGCATAACTTCCACTCACTTTCTGTTCTGTTCCCATTTGAAAATAGGCCTCTTTCCTGGTTGAACTGACAGGGCTCACACCACAATGTCACAGTGAATGAATGGCCTCTTTCTTGATGCAGAGCTCTGGTCCATTTACAAAGGGAAGGGTTCAGTGTCTTGGGAGCCCCGAAACACGGTAGCGCGATAATCGTATATATCGGTCTTTTTTGTTACTGTCGTTGTGATGAGGCTGTAGAAGGATGCCCTCAAAACTCGCAGTGGTTTATGAATGCACACATTTTATTTTACACTCGTGGTTCTGTAAGTTAGCTGAGGTTCAGCCACTTTTGACTGGGCTCCACTCGGCTCCCCTTGGCTCCGCTGGACGAGGCTGGACTCCAGATTGCAAGTTGGGCTCTTCTGGGCTCATGTCTGAATTCCAAGCCTGAGGCTAAAGGAGGAACAGCCACCTGGGGCATCTTCTTCCTATGGAGATGAATGGAAATTCAGGGAAGCTGGCAGAAACTCGCCATGCCTCTTATCACCTGAGACCTGGCACGCAGTCCTCCTGCCCATGTTCAGGTAGCAAAGTAGATCCTACGGCCAAGCCCACAGGGATTGAGGCAGGGGTACATCTCGTCTCCCCACTCTGAAGGAGGCACCGCAAGGTCACGTGGCTAAGTAGCAGGACGTTTAATTCTACCACAGGGAAGGAGGAAAGAGTTGGAAGCAATAATTCAGTCCCCTAGTCTACAAAATAAGCCTAAGATCCATGTAACAAAAACTAAAGATGACCAGTTCCGCCAGAATCATTGAATCCCAGTGCCCAGAGAACTGAAATAGTTGTTGATGGGGTGTGTCTTCTCTTATTAAATCCAGTTCAGTAGTCATGAGTGCTGTTTTCCTGTAAATCCAGGGATTGGCAAACTCTTTCTGTAAAGAGCCACGTTGTCCGTATTTTAGGCTTTGTGGGTCTCTGTTGCAATTGCTCAGCTCTGCTTTTGTCACCCAAAGCAGCAACCAACAATACTAAATAAATAGGTGTGGCTGTGTTCCACAAAATTTTATTTACAAAAGGGCGCAGCTGCCAGATGTGGGCCTGGGGCCATAGTTACTAGACCCGTTATGAACTCTTTTGTTGGGAAGTGCTTACTGGATATGTTTTGTTAATTGTCTGTCACTCTTTCATGTGAAAGATTCATCTTGGAGCTTAATTAAAACAGTCTTTCCCTCCTATTTGGCATTGACAAACTTGGGTATAGCTTTAATTACTTTGGAAATGTTTTACTTATCCAGGAAGACAGTGAAAATACTCATTAACTAAAAATATAAATTAAAAAAAAATCTTATATCAAACATTGCTTTATGAATACAGTGAAACCTTGAAAAACACAGGGGTTGGGGCATCGACCCCTATCCCTACCCCATGCAGTTGAAAATCCACATGTAACTTTTAATTCCCCAAAAACTTAACTACTAAGAGCCTACTGTTGACTGGAAACCTCACCAATAACATAAACAGTTGATTAACACATATTTTGTATGTGATATGTGTTATACACTGTATTCTTACAATAAAGTCAGCTGGACAAAAGAAAATGTTATCAAGAAAATCATAAAGGGGGGGTGCCTGTCCGGCTCAGTCAAGTAGAGGGTGCAACTCTTGATCTTGGGGCTGTGAGTTGGAGCCCCATGTTGGGTGGAAAGATTACTTAAAAATAAAACCTTTAAAAAAAAAAAGAAAGAAAAGAAAGTCATAAGGAAGAGAAAGGACATTTTCAGTACTGTAAAAAATCTGCATGGAAGTGGACCTGACAGTTCACACCCATGTTGTTCAAGGGTCGACTCTATATAATAATCCCCATATCAGAGAGCAGATTTTAAACACCACTCCTAAAGATACATGAGTACAAGTTCTTCAGTTTTCAGTGCCAAATACCGTGGTTTAACTTCTCATCCTCCCTTCCTTCCTTCCTCACTGGATTACTATGAACTGATGCTTCGGATTCATTAGCTATCCTGATATTTTGGTGGTTGATATAAACAGTGACATATCCAACTAAAAGAACCATCATTTGGCCCTTTTTTCTATTTAGGGTTTATGTTGCTGAATCTCTCATTTCCAGTGCTGGAGAAGGACTATTTTCAAAGGTAGCAGTGGGACCTAATACTGTTATGTCTTTTTATAATGGAGTCCGGATTACACACCAAGAGGTGAGCGGGGTCTAAGTGGAGGATCAACTTGATTGGTTACAGGGCTTGGTTTCAAACACTCTTAATTTTCCTGTTAGCCCCTTTACTTCAGTATTCGCTAGAAATATGAAGGAATAAACAGTCTTTTTTTTGTAAAATTGATGGGATATTGTCTTATAGCAGTCTTCAGATTTCTATAGCAAAAATACCATACACTGGGGGCACCTGGGTGGCTCAGTCAGTTGAGTGTCTGCCTTTGGCTCAGGTCATGATCCCAGGGTCCTGGGATTGAGTCCCGCATCGGACTCCCTGCTGTGTGTTGGGGGGGGGGGTCTACTTCTCCCTCTCCCTCTGCCTGCCACTCCCCCCGCTTGTGCTTTCTCTCTCTCTCTCTCTCTCTCAGTCTCCCTCTCTCTCAAATAAATAAAGTCTTAAAAAAAAAATACCGTATACTGGGTGGCCCATAAACAACAGAAATTTATTTCTCACAGTTCTGGAGGCTGGACGCCCAACTTCAGCATGTCAGCAGATTTGGTGTCTGGTCAGAAACCACTTCCTGGTTCATAAATGGCTCTTTTCTCTCACTGCAGCCTCACAGGGTGGGAGGGACAGGGGACATCTCTGGGGTCTCTTTTAAGTTTCACAGCTACTTTAGAGAAAGTGGGATGGCACCCGTCCAGGAGACAGCAATTGCTTTGTACTGTACTACACCCGGTTTCTGAAAAATTGAGACCCAGCTGGATTCGGTCAATAATTAATTTATGATCTTGCACAGGCTACTTTCTGGGAAGGCTCCCTACTTCTGTTTGTGCAAAAGTCATACAGTAGCCTACATCCAGCCAGGAAGGCTTCTATTGCCCAAAAAGCTGAAAATAAAAAGTTAAAGAATAATCACCTCTTGCCTTTAAAATACAATCTTTGATCAGGCGCCTGGGTGGCTCAGTCGTTAAGTGTCTGCCTTTGGCTCAGGTCATGTTCCCAGGGTCCTGGGATCGAGCCCCGCATCGGGCTCCCTGCTCGGCGGGAAGCCTGCTTCTCTCTCTCGCACTCCCCCTGCTTGTGTTCCTGTTCTCCCTATCTCTCTCTCTCTCTGTCAAATAAATAAATAAAATCTTTAAAAAAAAATACAATCTTTGATATATTTTCCAGAATCCAGTGTTTTTGTTTTTGCTTCTTCACGTCACAATTAACTTCCTTACATGTCCACTTAAGGGCAAAAAGTCTGCTGCTTGAGCCTGCCTTGTAGTCTCCATCTGGTCTCACTTGCATTAAGGGTGTGGGACTTGGGCTTGTTGCTCATATCCCTCATTCATGTACTTCCCTTTTTCACTTATTGCTATGGAATGCTACGGGGGAAATGCCGTGAAGTAATCAAGGGTTTGCCCATTCAAAGCCGTCGTACAGACAAAGACGGCTTGGCGCTCACACTGAGCCATGGTCTGGCACGCGGTACCCCTAGTGATGGCCAGACCTCTGTGTCCGCAATCCTGACAGTCCAGGAAATTCAGCATATGAAAGGTGGCTCAGGATATTGATACACTATCTATCTATTCTAACATTTTACAGATAACAAAACTGAAACCCAGAGTGGGTGAGCCATTTGTCCGAGGTCACAAATACAGTTATTAGCAGAGTTCAAGCAGGATTTCAAATAGAATCTGGCTCCCGGCAAAACTCACTATATGCTGTGCTGTGGAAATGAATGGGGCACCCTCCTTGCCTTCATGAAATTTAGATTCTGTTGGGGAGAGGTGCCTGGGTGGCGCAGTCAGTTGGACTCTTGATTTTGGCTCAGGTCCTGATGTCGGGGTCGTGGGATCAAGCCCTGCATCAGGCTCCGTGCTCAGGGGGGAGTGTGCTGGAGATTCTCTCTCTCCCTCTCCCTCTGCCCCTCCTCCCGCTCTCTTTCTAAAGTAATAAATAAATTTTTAGATTCTGTTGGGGAGATAAGAAAAATATACAAGTAATGGCAACGTAAGGTAGATGGTCCCAGGTACCATATATCAGTTCATATAACAGGGCTGGAATATTAAGATCCATGAAGATTTTTTTCACTTTCATCACTGCTGTATCCCCTACACCTAGAACAGTGCCTGGCGTATGATAGGCACTCAGTAAATATTTGTTGAATGAATATCAGAACCAAATAACAGCATAATTATAATTTAGGGGCAGGAGAGGCAGTATACCTCTGAGAGTCAGCAGTTCTATATAAAAATGTGGTCCTAGGGGCGCCTGGATGGCTCAGTCGGTTAAGCCTCCGACTCTTGGTTTTGGCTCAGGTCAAGATCTCAGGGTTGTGGGATGGAGCCCCACGTGGGGCTCCCTGCTCAGCAGGAAGTCTCCTTGTCCCTCTCCCTCTTCTCCTCCCCCTGCTCTCTCTCTCTCTCTCTAAAATAATAAATAAAATCTTTAAAAAAAATTTTTTTTTTTTATTGGTCAGAGAGAAAGCACAAGCAGAGAGAGCTGCAGACAGAGGCAGAGGGAGAAGCAGGCTCCCCGCTGAGCAGGGAGCCCCAAGCAGGGCTCGATCCCAGGACCCTGGGATCATGACCTGAGCCTAAGGCAGACGCTTAACCGACTGAGCCACCCAGGCACCCCTAAAAAATTGTTTTTAATGTAATCCTGTTTGCTCCAAAAAACTGCTCTGCTGACCTCAGCAGATGCTGGGGTGTGGGTTGGAGTGGGGCGGTGGGCTGGAGAAGTGAAGACTCTTGGTGCCTTGCAGAGAGTGAGTGCTTGTTGTAGGTAAGAGAGCACACTGGGAATGGGTGACACCATCTGCTGGTCACACTGATCCCCCACTTGTAACAAAGGTGAAGGACTCCGCTTAAAGCACGATTTTGCATTCCTCATAGTTCCGGTTCCATTTGACGTTCTTGTGTGTTTCTTTTGCCTCATCTTCTTCACAGCGGGGCTTCCAGGGATCTGGGGGTTGGTCAGAGCGGCAGATCCGACCACCGGAGGCAGTAAGCCACAACAGGCTTCCCTGGCACGGGGCAGTGCTTGGACAGGGGGGCAAGAGAGGGGACGTCCTGCCAGCCCGAGACGGTCCAGAGGCTTGTGGCACAGGGGCCACCATCCGGAGCAGGAGGAGGGCAGGGAACTCCCAGGAAAGAGAGGGTCAGAGAGGGGGCTGACGTGTCTAGGTGACGTGTAGTACAGAGAGGAGTCTCTGGGCCACAGAGCTCCGAAGGACAGAGGCAGTCTGGAGGCTTTGTGGTGCTGGGCTTTCTCTCACGAATCTGCTAGCAGATGTGGGGTCAGGTGTCCCAGGGGAAGCAGGCCCGAAGTGGCTAAAGCTCCGCTTTGTTTGGGCTATTTAAAGAACAACTGGATGTGTAAATTTGAGTTTGGTGCTGGAGGGCTTTGGAGGTATTAGGTCTTAGCCTGCACTGAAGAAATAAACCACCTAGGGGCATCGGGTTATATTTTTGTGTGTCTTTGTCGGGGACTTTCAGTCCTTTTTCTCATGTAAGATGAGGAAAAGTCAGTACGTAAGAAGTTGAGCTGCCTGATGCTGCCCACAAACGGCTTTCGCACCATCGATGTGCGGAGGGATGCCTCTGGTTCTTTTCACGCATCTAGCACTCACACAGCGAAACGGAAGGAGAAATGAGTTAATGTTGCTGATGTTCTCTGAGATTTGGGGAGAAAGGCCCTATCTAACGTGCACTTTCTTGTTTTCTGCAGGTTGACAGCAGGGACTGGGCTCTTAATGGGAATACCCTCTCCCTCGATGAAGAAACGGTCATTGATGTGCCTGAGCCCTACAGCCACGTGTCCAAGTACTGTGCCTCCTTGGGACACAAGGCAAATCACTCCTTCACTCCAAACTGCATCTACGATATGTGAGTATGACACCCAGCTTCCAGGGTGGATCCGGGCCCCGTCTGCTGGGGCCCCGCGACTGACGAGGGCCTGTCAGAGCTGTCATCCTGCCCCAGGTGAAGGACGCTCCCTCTGGGTTCCTGAGGCTCCTCTCCCAGACGTCTCCCGGTTAGGACTTGACACTCGGAATCTAAACAACCCCTTCCCTGGCCTTGGTAACTCAGACAGGGCAAAGTGCTTGGAAGGGTAGAAACGCTATGGAAATGAGACACTTCTTGGTTGCTGTTTCATCGATGCTTTTTTGTCCTTCAGTGGTCTCACTCGGGAAAATTAAGGATAGTGTTATTTGAAATATTAGAAAAATTAAAATTGTTCTGCATAGTGAAGACTCGTGAACTCTTTTATGTTGTGAAAGGAAGGAAGAAAAGAAAATGCCAAGCCTAGGGCACAAGGTCTTGGTGCTGGAAAAGACGGATTAAATCAGAGTCCCCATTATTTGACAATAAAGAGGAAAGAAATACTGACACATGCTACAGCGTGGATGAGCCTTGAAAATATTATGCCAAGTGCAAGAAGCCAGTCTCATAAGACCCGATAGTGTATGATTCTATTATTGATAGGACTTGGCCATTACAGCAAAATTCATAGAGACAGAGTACAGATCAGTGGTTGCCCAGGGCCCGGGGAAATGGGGTTGCTGGCTAATGAGTATGGGGTTTCTTTTGAGAGTAGCGCACTATACTAAAATTAGAGAGTGGTGATGGTTGCCTGCCTGAAACCCACTGAATTGCATGCTTCAAATGGGTGAATTTTTAGGGTATACGAATTGCATCTCAACAAAGCTGTCATTTTAAAAAGTCAAATAGTCCTGGGTGCTTGGGTGGCTCAGTCGTTAAGCGGCTGCCTTCGGCTCAGGTCATGATTCCGGGGTCCTGGGATTGAGCCCTGCATTGGGTTCCCTGCTCCGTGGGAAGCCTGCTTCTCCCTCTCCCACTCCCCCTGCTTGTGTTACCTCTTTTGCTGTGTCTCTCTCTGTCAAATAAATAAATAAAATCTTAAAAAAAGAAAAACACTCTAAAAAAAAATAAATAAATAAATAAAAAGTCAAATAGTCCTACCTCTCGGAGTTTGAGCCCTCCCCTTCCAACGGCTCACTGAACCTCTTCTTGTAAACCTCCATTGATGGGGAGCTTACTGTTAACCACGAAGGCAGCTGTCTGGACAAACTGACATAGATATTGTTGTGAAATTAACTTTCAGGCTCAGATGATTAAAATGTTCTTTGTATGAAGCCCAAATGGGTTTCCCTATAACATCCAGCCCTTTGCCCTAATTATTCCCCTATGCACTATGCCAGTCTCTCTTCGACATAGTAGCCCTACAAATATTTTAGAAGCTTTCATATGCCCCCTGAATGTTCTCCTCCCAAAGCCAAGCGTCTCTGACTATTCCTTGAAGAGTACAGTTGGCATTCCTTGGATCATCATCATTGATCTCCTTAGCTCAGCCAGAAAATGCCTGTTCGACCTGGGAGGCAGGTGGCCACATGCCACCTTTTCTGCTCAGTTATAGCTCTCAGTCCCCCCTGTCTATTGCTTGTTAACAGAAGCAGGATCCAATCATGTGCATTTAATCTATAGGAAAATTGCCAGGATATGAATGTCCCTCCTCACATCCCTGAGATGGCTTGGAAATTGCTCTGGCAGGGACTTGCTTTCCTTGGCAGCCAGTACCAAGTACTGCAGCTCCGACTTCTGTTTAAAGGGCAGGTAGAAATGGCAAAGGACATGTGTCATGTGAAATGAAACCGACACTGTTATTAACTCCAAGGCTTTCGCGGCCAATGTGAATTAGGCCAAAGCATCGTTCCAGGCTGCACACGGCTTCCCAACAATCTTTTAAAGCAGTGGTAACTAACAGTAACAAATGCTACTTCAACTTCTCTTTTAACAACTACTCTTTTAAAACAAACAAGTTCTGTGATTTCACTGCAAGGACATGGTTTCTCTCACCAAAAAGAAGAGCGCACAGGAGACAAGGGAGAGATCCATTTGTGCAAAATCAAGTCTCCAGACTCGTCAGGGTTATTTCCTTCCAGCCCAATGTGAACAATTAGTTATTTGGGGTAAAGGGAAGACTATCTGAAAAATAATAAAATATAAAATTCAGATACCGATCCATGGCATTCATTTGCTTCTAAAATTATTGGTATCATTATGCACACTTTAACATCAGCAAAGCAATATCCCTGTATAAGCTGCAGTGCGGTACAAAATCCAAACGGACAAACGGACACGAACCACTGCCCTAGTTGTCAATAGAGGTGACATGTCGCCAAGGGCCCAAACCACTGGGTGCGGAGAGCTTTGCTTTGGCCACTAATCGTGCTACTGGCATTGATTGAGCACTTTGGGCCAGTGCCATGCTAACGCCTTCTCATGAATTCTCTCACTCAGGCCTCCCAGGACCTCTGTGGGGCAACCTCCGTTACCTACCCCCCCCCCACCCCATCACAGACCGGAAACGCGGAGCTCTTAGCCGCAGTGGCTAAGTGTCCTTAAGCATCATGCCCCATGCTGCCTGGGAGAATCAGCACCTGAAATGGAGTGCCTTCTTTTCAGTCTGTTCTTTTTCTACTCTTTGAAAATAATAAGCAGGAAAATGAAAATAAAAGAAGATTATACCACAAGTCTTAGGTTTCTCATGGAATTTTGTCAGTGTGCAGTAAGATTAGCTAGAGCTCCGTTTCAGGGGTGTTATTTTTTTAATGCAGTATTTTAATTTAGAGACAAAGAGCTGTGATTTTATTATTTTTTTTAAAAATTTATTTATTTATTGAAGAGAGAGAGAGAGCACAAGCTGGGGAAGAGAGAGAGAGAGACAAGCAGACTCTCCACTGTGTGGGGAGCCCCACGTGGGGCTCGATCCCAGGACCCTGAGATTATGACCTGAGTCGAAACCGAGAGCTGGATGCCCAACCGACTGAGCCACCAAGGTGCCCCAAGAGTTGTGATTTTAATAAGGACTTCCCGAATCCCTGGTGCAGGGATGTCTGTGGTGGAGCACAGTATGAGAATTCTGTGCACACGCACACTCACTCACAGATGTGCGCACATAGTCACTAGTAGAAGCTGAGTCCTCACTTTGTGCCAGGCCCTGTGTGAGGTGCTTCCTATAGGGGACCCTATTTTGTCACAGTGACAACTCTTAAAACGATTAGGATTGCTAGTATTACCATGAGGTGAGGGTGAGGAAAGTGAGATTCAGAGATATGGAAGTGAGCTTTCTGAGAGGGGGCAGTAATAATGTGTGGAACCGGGACTCACGCTAAAGTCTCTGACCCCAAGTCAAGCGTGCTTTCCAGAAAAGATGACACCCAAGTGGGGTGGACATAGAGGCCCCTTGGAGTGTGGGTGCGCACTTTGTCCTCTGTCATTCACATAAAAGATGTCCCTAAACCACAGACACACTCCTTTCCCCACCACCAATAGAGGGAACCAGCCAGGTCCTTGCTATCATGCCCCATGTGCCAATCTAACTTAGGGCCTGGAAGCCTCTCCTGTGGTGTCTCCATGTCCTTTGCTCACAGTGTGACGATAAATGAATGAGACTGATTTGACCAGATGCATATAGAGATAAAGCGAATTTCTTTCTGGTCATGCCTTACATATTTCCGTTCTGGGTTTCAGAAGCTGTTAGGTGAGCTAAATCTATTCCTTATTTATCTCCTGTTCTCCTGCAGGGGTCATAGGGGTGAACCGGGTTGGGAGCCTTTGGCAGAGGAACACAGTCAGAGCATTAGCCCTGCCTCGGGTTCCGAAAGGCTCGAGGCTGCTCCCTTCACAAGATGCTTCACAGGGAAATATTTAAAAAGCAGGTTGGCAGAGAGGTCTAGGCTTCGCTCCTGGAAAGAAGTCTTCATCTACTTTTATGCTAGAAAATAATACTTCCTCTGTCTGTAGAGGGTGGAATACAGTTTTTCGCATTTGAAAATCCATGGGGCTCTTCCTTACACCTCCCAAAGTGTCCTGGTAAAGCCTTGACCACAAGGTACAGCCAGGTAATCTGATGCCACAGGCCAGGTGGGCTGAAATGCCGACCGGCTGCACTGGATCCAGTTTCTCATTAAGGATAGATTTTTGTTGTTGCCCATGTTGTTGGTTTAAAAATACAGAGTGCCAAATATGCTCAAAGAGGAAGCTAGAGCGGTGCTTTTTAAACTTGAACGTGCATATGCATCACCTGGAGGTGTTGTTAAAATGCAGACACCAAGTCAGCAGGTCCGGGTGGGGCTGAGATTCTCGGTGTCTAGCAGCACCCAGGTGAAGCTGATGCTGGCCAATCTGTGGGCTACACGTGAGGGCCTACCGATGGTGCCCAGGGAAGAGCTCCTGGGTGATTCCTACCCCCTCCACCCCCCTCACCCCCCTCCGCCCCAGGCTTTGCTTCTAACCTCCCGATCTGACCCAGGAATGACTGTGCGCATCTTGATGTCTAGGTTTGTCCACCCCCGTTTCGGGCCCATCAAATGCATCCGCACACTCCGAGCCGTGGAGGCTGATGAGGAGCTCACCGTGGCCTATGGCTACGACCACAGCCCCCCAGGGAAGAGCGGGCCTGAAGCCCCGGAGTGGTACCAGGTGGAGCTGAAGGCCTTCCAGGCCACCCAGCAGAAGTGAAAGGCTCAGCCCTGGGCTTCTGAGACCTGGAATAGAAACTTGGATCTATGCACTACGTTTTCCGACAACGGGACAACCAGGGACTGCTCATGCTGTGACATCACATCCTCTCACTCCACGTTAGCAACGACTTTCTCGCATACTAACTAGGTTTGACTGTATTACTCATACCAGATTTAAAATTAGCTAGCCTTGCAACAACGTCCTACTGAGAGGTATTGTCGAACACTTGACACAGACAGCGTGATGTTCTTGGGTGGCTCAAGTCTAAATCTGTACCACACTCAGAGATGCCAAATGATTAGACTGAAAAAGGGAAAGGGGGCTTCTCAGTCATTTTT